CCCTACATTCAGCTTTAACATAATGACGGGAGGCACAAATAGCTGAGACAGCAGGGCTGCAGTTGCAGATGATCTCTAAGAGTTAAAAGGATTTGGTGCAGAGTTTTGACTTGGTCTAATGATGCAGATAAAATGGAAAGTGTTGCCTTCAAGTACATTGAATGCAGCTACTTTACCACTAACCTATAGATTATTTGAAGGGTAAAGCAAGCCTTTTGATTCAAGTGAGTTGTTGTAGCGAAAGCTAAAAACAAGATTTAATACAGGTCTCCCCCAAGGAGAAAGGCAGGACTATTTACAACAGTTCTTGGTCTCAAGTTTTCCTGGCTTTTCTTCTGAAGAGACTGAATTATACGATTTAACCAATCTGTGTAAACACTACTTGAATAACAACATTTGAGAAACTGGATCGCAATTTTTTGCTCAAGCCTCAGAATGGCATATAGGAAATAGGCACTCAGCTAGTTAGGTCATTAATTGCATCCTCCTTCTATCTGAAGCTCAAAGAACTGAAGTTTTAGTGACTGAAGGAAACACTTTCTCTCCTCAAGCTTGCTGCACAGTTTTGATGAGGAGTAATTTCCTGCAGAATATTTCTATGCAGGAAATTACTCCTCAGAAGTGGGGAATCCTTGGCATTTGGCAGCATGTCATTCCCTAACCTGGGGGAAAACATAGTGGGGCTTATGCTCCTGCATAAGAAGTGTTTGCTTCCCCCACGATTACAGTGGAGTACCCTTACAAAAGAAATAAGTGCGTGCAACTGAGCAGGCAGAGTAATTCTTACTCCCAGGGAATACGGTCAAAGATTAGGAGACAAAAATCTTTGCTAGTACTCCCTCGTTAACCTTCTCAAAAATCCAGGGCATACAGCAACAGCAATGGAGCAGGTGCGCAAATGGACAAGCTACGCAGATGACACCGAGTGGCAATTCCAGTCCTTCATATCCGAAGGATTAGACATTTTACAGTACAAATCATAATAGCGCAAATAAAACTGGAGTGTGATGAAGAGTAACTGCTTTAGCACACAATCACTCAGTATTTTGGAAAATTAAAGAATGCTATGAAAAAAACAGGTAAGATTAAGGTGACGATAAAGCTAATGCCATTTAGCTCGAGCCATACAGCTATCGAAAGGGTTCAGGTTACCAGGAGGTGTTGGGACAGGCATTGTGCTGAGAAATAAGCACCCTTTGAACAAATATAGCTGCACTGCATGTTTGGAGCACTGTTATTTCCTTACTCCTTCCAATGCTATAACTCTGCAGGATTATCTTTGAAAGCAAAAGCAAATTAGGAGCATTATTGGCCCAGTAAAACACCTAGTACTATGCATACAGCATGTTTTCTGCTTTCAAGTCTGCCTAAAGAGCAAGCTACTTGACAAGCATCACTCCTCCGTCTCAATGTAGATCCATGTCCAAACAAGGGAGTAAATTCCACTGCAGGCATTTGATTTTTAGGGAATATCTTCTGACATTTGCAGCTTCAAAACGAGCCCCTCCTGCAAAGTACTAATTATTTTTCATCTACTATGCATCATTCAAGGAGAATGTTAGAGATGGAGGATCTGTGGCACTTCAACGTGAATCAGAAATATAACGCCAAGTCCATCTTGATCTTCTCTAATCGCAGTGATTCCTGTCATTTTGCCAGACAGCATTAGTTGGGAAAACAGGCACGTTTGTGGCTAGTACCAAATTAGTGCAACAACTTTTATTTAAAATTCTAGCTTTTGGACCTGTGATTAAAGAGCATACTGATGAGTAAAGAGCATTGGGTATTTTCAGTCAAACGCTTCAAATTTCAAAACCCCAGCAGACTAATAACAGTCTTAATTAACGGATAGAAAAGTTAAGGCATAAAAACAAACTACGGGGCTATGGTTTTCTAAGTCTGGCAGAGCTAAGGATTAGAGAGTTTCCCCATCCCTTCAACTCAAACTTCAAACCACTGTTGACCACCGTGCCTTCATACTCTGAAGCAGCCATCAAAAAAATAGTTTTATCTGAACCGTTTGCTGCACTGCAGAAACATGAGAGTTGCCATCGCATGTGCTTGGGGAGGGCTACATTGGCTGCAAAGCAGAAAATAAACTGCTAACTGGGTACTGGAGGCTTGCAAGACGGGACGGGAAGACAGCTGTGAAGTGAACTGCTTGCGCAAATTCTGAAGTCCGCTACTGGAAGGGCTAGAGTTTTTATGTCATTCCTGTAATGATCCGTTTAGCCAATTTGATTCACTTTCTCCATCTCGTAACGCAGGATAAAAGGAGAAAAAAATCACCCTGATGATGCTGTAGCTCTATATGCTTAGATATCCAAATCAGCTAGACAAAGACTGTCCTTTGCTGGGTTGAATCTTGTTTTGGCTGTTGCATCTGCAGCCTCTCAACATTATATCAGACTAAGTTGTGCTATTCCCCAAAAGAACTTCTAACCACCGAAAAGCTCCTATTCCCTGCCTCTGAACTTGAAAAACACGGAGAAGCAAGCTGCACAGTGCCATGCTCCTAACCAAACACCTTCCCAACAGTCCATCTAGAGAACAGTTGAGGGCCTGGAGAACGGACGGAGGCTTGAACAGAAATACTCGATCCCAGGGACCTGGAAGCTGTTGGCAAACCAGCAAGCAGTGCTGTTCACTGGGACCTAGCACCCCGGCTTGGAAAAAGGGACAAGGCACACATGGGTGTAAGACAGCTACAGACCATGCATGCACCACAAATGGTGTTTGTATGCATGTGTGCGTGCGTGTGTTGTTTTTAGAGTTCAATAATTTATTTGAGTTTCAGTAAGTTATTCTAGCTGAGGTGAGAGCAGCATTAAGTACAAAGTAAGAGAAAGCTGCTTTTTGTACTTAACGCCAGAAACTCTGCCAAGTCATTTAAGAGCACATGAAGCTTCTACTTACCAGTTTGATCGCTACATATTCATTGGTGTAGAGATTTTTGCCTGTGAAAGAAAAAGAAAAATCTTTTAGCTCTACATTCAACACTTCTAGCTGAGAGACAATGCAAGAGCGCTTCACCGATCATCACTGAAGGCAATGAGCTATCTGTCTTCTCCGAATTAGACGCTGAAGTTCATGCTTCTAACAAAGCACAAGTCTCAAAATAATAAACTGTAGCAGTTCACCAGGCTAGGCCAACACCATCTTCCATTCAGCATAAGGTACCCCTGTTCAATGGCTACCTTACGCAGTACTTACGTTCAGTACAAGTATTTGAGGAAGTTTCCCAGACATATGTTTTATTATCCATGTAAGGACAAAAAAGTTTGGGGAACAAGAAGTGAAGAGTCAGACTAGTATTTTTTTCCAGAAATGTCTTGATTCTGCTGGACACTGGGCAATTTTATCCTATGATCTATAGAGAGTTTCACCAGCTTAACTGTGTAACGTATCAAAGGGACTATTGCAGGTAGGCACGTGAAAATAACCTTTGTATGAACACAGAGCTTTACTTCTTCCTCTATGAACAGTGTACATAAAAGGCCTTCTCAATTGATCAAATCAGTGCTCAATCTAATAAGGCCAACAACTGCCAGTTGCAACACAGTACCAGCGCACTACACAACCGTTCCCAAGATGTTAACAAATACACTACCTAAAGGGAAGGACAAAATTCATTCTTGGGACCCCAAAACATGGAGCACAGCAGTACTCCCCCTTTCTTCCAGCAAGCCTCGCTGCTTGTACCATGCAGGAATACCCCTGCTATCACAGACTAAAAGGTTTATTACTCCAGTGCTAGCTCTGGCAAGCACCTAGGACGAGTATAAACAGGCAAGCACTTCGCTATACCTTCACACTACATACACATTCAGATACCAGTAAACTGTGGCTGAGGGATGTTGAGCCAGAGCTAATATGCTTGTGTTCAATAGCTGTAGGTGAATTTTTACTCTGTGAATTTGGCTGGTGTTTGCACCAAACCTTTGGCATCCTTAGTGACCTGCAGCAGGGACCCACAGCTGCCTTTGTCAAGAAGCATCTCTTTTTGCATGTTCTGAAACTGCCAATTATTGTATCATTCAACATCCTCTCGTTCCTCTACCATGACGTTCGAGCAATTACTCCCCGTTCACCTTCTCTAGGCTGCTCATGATCGGCAAACGCGAGGAATGAATATCCCTGGGGAAGGACGCTTAGGCAGCCCTCATATCGCATCTGTCTTGCGACTCTGACATCTCTGCTGCCGTCCTCTGACCTTCTTGAGTTCCACTGTACCCGGGAGGAGTGCGACTGCCACTGCACAAGGCTCCCTGCCCATTTATACACACGCCTATCATTCCCCGTACCGCTTGCTCGCTTTACTCTTACTGTGCAATGAAGCCAGACTTTCATGGAACAACTTAGTAGAGCTCCAAAATTCAGTAGCAACCTATAAGGGAAGTTCAGCAGTGCTGGTTTGTAGCTTTGGTTTTGCCTGCGTCTGTTACGCATTTGTTTTCCAAATCCTGTAGTAAGTAATGAGGCTCAGAAGATTACACCAGCTGTTGAGGAAGTCCATCACAAGGAGTGACATACTTCAAACCAGCTGGAAGTTTGGAATATTTAGCATATCAAAGTAGGCATTGTTAAAAAACATGCCTAGTCCTCCCTCACGTACGTGTATTCTTTGCATGCAGCAACAGCACTGGAAGACCCAATACAATTAAAGACCTAAAGATGTCTATTCGTGTTCTCTCATGCTTTAAAAATCCAAAATACTTACCAGGGGAATTTCTTATTCTTACCTCTCTCCCTCCTCCTTTAAAATTTTAATTATTTTACTTTATAACAGCTTAGTATTTTCTTCAACTGCTTTTGGTACCTTCTCTGCTACATCACTTGGTTTAGTTCTGGCCTCCAAATTTTGAAAAGGACACTCCTGAAACAGGTCCCACGCTGAGCAGGCAGCTTTAACATTCAGTAGGAGGTCGAAAATTTTAGCGGAAGGTGGACTCCTCAACCTGTTTCAGTAATTGGCAATGCTGTTTAGCATAGGACAGGCAATTTAAGGTGAGGTTAAATATCCTAAGAAGAAATGTTTTATGCAATCAGACATGTAAGCTGAGCTTCAGGGTGTTAACCCTTGCAACACAGTGTAGGAACTAGGTTTTGCAGTCACCTCAGGAACACTCACTCAGACTTTGGAAGGTGGCTTCAAAAAAGACAGATTGGAAGAACAGGAAGGCCAAAATCAGCAGAAAGGCAGGTGGTGAGGATAAACTGCTTCCCCATTTGAGACAGATAAGGATTCCAGCCTGGTACTATCCGAGGGCAGCAGCAGGGGGGAAGAACATGCAAGGACATTAAGAGAAGGCAGCCTAAATACACTTTAATTATCTGCTCCATATTAGCTACCAGAAAATGAGTCATATCAGCAGCTCCAGATGTAGTTTGCCCACTGACACTTCCTCTTCCCTCCTCCTTCAAAAGGGGATTAGACTGATATCAAGATGCTCAGTTTGAAGACACTGCACCCGACTAAGGGAAGCTCCAGCTCAGATATATGAGAAAGTTATATGCTCTAAGCAGCAAAAGACCTGAGGCAACATGGGAATACTGTCCCCCTACAGATCCCATGCACCTGCATGCCATGTCCTTCATTGCAACCTTGGAGCCACACCACTTCAAGGTAGCTTTAGCACTCGACGTGAAGGGGTATGATGACTTTCAAGGAGTGATGACCCACAGTCCTTACATTATTACTCGTGCTCTCCCACTTAAATGGGATAATACTATACTTCTAAACTTGTTTTAAAGCAGTGGAGGAGACTGTTAGCACCCTGCATGCACCTCCAGCCATTATCCAGCCTATTATGGTCCAGTTGAGATGGCCAAGAATAAGTAAGAGCCAGTTTTGATAATGACATTCCTCAATTAAAAAAAAAAAATTGGTAAAACACTGATAAACTAGCCCTAGACATAAAAAGTCTGGCAGAAAAGTAAACAAACTCACTAACTCACCCTCCAATTCAGCTCCTTCCAAGCAAGCAAACATGGGGTAGAGTCTGAATGTCAGATGGGTGCAAATAGGTCCAGTTTTTGAACTCCAAACCCTTCCTACAGCTACAAGAGAAGACGCTTGCTTTGGCGGTTATCTTTTGCAGCTGATGAGAGCAAAGCCAAGGCCCCTGAAACCTCACTCCTGGCTCACTCCAGACCAAGATCACAATCAAGCCCTCAGTTTTGCGAGCGCACTGTTGCCCGAGGCATAACAGTTTCTCCCTTCTCCTTACACAAGGCAGCGCAGATATTAAAAGGCAAGCGTAAAGGCAGCACTGCTGGCAGGACACTGTTAAGCTGCATGGTAAAATAAGCTGTGAATAGAAGCTGCACCTTATCTCGAGAAGACAAAAGCTTTGTGATACAACTTGGAGGACATAACTGTGCTAACAAAAGCCTTTCAAGTTCAGGCAAGGCTTTAGACGGAGAAGCGATTAAGCTTATGCCTCCGTTTTGGGTAGTTCCACTGACAATTACGAACCATATATTGTAAATGAGAAGTGATGCATTAAGTCACTAGCATTCACGTGGGAAATCTAACCAAGTGGATTTCTCAGGCCCTGGCAGCGTGATGTACGACGCACTGGCTGCCCAGTCGAGCTGCAGACGGGTAGAGCAACCCAAACCGATCAGTCTCTCGAGTGCTTAAATTAAGAGCCACTAGCGCAAACCTTCTCGCGCGACTGACAGGAGTTAAATGTTCCTTCTTTGACCTGTCTAGCCTGGCATTATACGGACCATACGTTTTGATGATGGACCAAGGCTGCCAAACAGAGCTACTCCAGCCCTAGTTTACAGGAAATAACATCTATTTTCATATTAACTCAAAGTGGCAAACTTTAAAATAATAAAACATCCAACCAGTTGTCCTACAGACCAGGTAGAGCTAACCTCAGACAGTGCTGCATCTACAGAGAGACCATGTCCTGGAGGCATCAGCCTAAAGAGGAGTTCGTGTTAATTTTGTACCTACCACGTTTGTCTTCCTTTCTAGAGCACACTTCTCTCCAAATAACAGCACTTCGGGTGGACCCTATATATGATGTGCTGCCATCCCCCTCCCCCTTTTTCTTTCTGTACAGTTTGGGTTTTGCTTAACGCTGGCTCACTGCCAAGATGCACTGAACCTTCATTAGACCTGTGTACGAATCATGCCAGCACTTGACTTCAAAACACAGAGTTTCTCCGGGTAACACATGAAAATCAACATTTCGCCAAGAACCCCTTTGGTGCACTGGCCTATTGAGAGAGGATACAAGTCACAGATCATCGAGCTCTCCCTAACGTTTTCTTTCAAACAGGGCTAGACCGCATTAGCTGTCATTTTTAAATGACAATTGAACAGTATAATTTTGAAAACGCCAGCTGATATTTGCACTGGAGTAAAAAAAGATGTGGGCTTCAGTCTACAGCTCTACATTAAGATAAGCCACTGGCCTGTTCAGAAATTACTGTTTATAAAAACCAAAACCCCCCAAATCTCCCTCCAACCCAATGGAAGCTGCAATCATTTTACATTAGCACTTATTTTAATGCTTTACTAACTAAGAGTGCTAAAAGTTGGGAAAACAGCATTTAAAGAGGCTTATCTATCCCTAACTTTTCTCATGGTTCAGGATTTGGGATGAATACAGCTGTAGCAGTCTGCATTAAACCTGGTCTGCAAGTCCATGAGTCAATATGAAGAGATGGTTCATAGGCTCAAGTGGCAATGTCCAATGTACAGTGAAGTTCACAGGCATGGCTTATCATGACGCTGGATTTTAAAAGGTTAAATCCTATTATTTCTAAGCTGGGAGCACCTAGTGACATCACAGGCTTTTACAGCAGTAAGCACACGATGAGCCTCTTCTCAGAGCTGCTCCAGCCCTAATTTACAAAAAACATTAATGTCTATTATCATACTAACTTGGGGTGGAGACCCAGAGCATCATTAAGGCAGAAGTCACGCTATAAAATTGCAGGCGTTCTCCAGTTCACAAGTTCACATGAGAATTAATTTGGTAATTTGCTGGGAAGCTGCACCATGATCTTGACGCTTCCTTAAGAGCGTGTTTTCACACAAGGCAGCCAACCAACGTAACTGCCCAGAAGTCCTAGTCCTCTTCCTCCCAGCTTCTCCCTCCGCCTTCAGCTGGCATCATCTCATTTCAGACCCCTTTGCGGCTCGATTTGCTTAAACAGCGAACGATTTTTTTTGAGAAGCTGCCAGTTTTCCATCATTCTGAAGACTTAAGCATCTCACAAGAGGGTAGACAAGTGCCAGAGCAAGTCTCACCTAGAAACGGCAAACCAGACCCTCTGCTTTTTGCTGGCACCAGGACCCTAGGTAGTTTCAGTCACCTAGGAAAAACCAAAGCTTTTACACACCTAGGAAAAACCAAAGCTTTTACACATCACCTCACCTGCAGCCTTCCCAGTTAACCCTCTTTCATCTCATTACTCCAGGCCAGATACTGATTTTTGTTTTTCATCCCTTTCTCATCTTTCTGGCTGAAATCCTACTGTACTGCTCCAGTACATCTCCAAAAGCTCAAAAATTAATACCCCTGAGGCTATTTATTTTGTAATAAGGAAGATTGACCCTAAGCAGTTAACCTGACATTCGCAGAAAACAGCTTCACTACGTGACATTGCCTTCCCTCCTCCCTGCACAATCAGTCCCCTGGTGATCTGGTGTGTGCTGAAACAAGAAGAGTTTAGAGTGAAAAAACAACACCTGAAAAGAGAAATTCTTTGGAGAATTGGAAAATGTGTTTTGCCCTTGTTTACCAGTCTAGACTGTGCATGACTTTGCTCTTCCTGTATTTACTAAAAGCACTCACTGATGCCTTACTTCTCTGAAACCACATTAAAAATAAAAAGGCCAAAAAGCAGAGGGGGCATGCCACGTGTCTTTGCAGGACACAACTGTTATCAGACTTGTTTGCTTGTATTTCAGACATGCTGCTTCTCCTTCCCCACAGCACAGTTCAGCAATAATTAGCATCACATCTGTGCAAGCAAACAGGAGTTCTTAAAGCTATAATGGCTAGCAAAAAGTATAAAAGCTTCAAGCAATAACACAGCGTAAGGACCTTACACTTAATTCCCATTATCAGTGTGCCTGGCCCTTTGCCCAAGTAGAGTGAGTTACAACATACTTTGTTAACCAGCATTGGCAAAACTTTTACCATTGTAATGTATCAATGCACCAGAATTATGAGCCGCTATATTAACAGTGGATTCTTTTTCCATAGTTAGAACAGAACTTCTCTGCAAAGCAATCTTCCCAGAATTGAAACCCCTCGTTTAACATCAATGCTTCAAAACAACACATTAGTCAGAAATCTGATATCCGAGCCTCCAAACTGCTAAAACTTTGAGAAACGCAGAAAAGAACTGCCCTGGAATCAAGATTAGAATTTGGACACCAACTGCATAAAAGTAAGAGCCATTTACCTGGGGGGATCTAATACAAATGCTAACCATTCGAAGCAGAGTTTTGGATTACAAAGCAATTCAACAGCTCTGGTCATGAAGTTGTAGCTCTTGTGACATTTGCATTTGGGGGTCCTTTCCTTTTAAGGCATAATTCTTCCAGTGCATTTCATTGAAAAATGCAATAGAGCTATGCATGTTATGTTATTATAAGAATCCAAACTGTATTATCTGCCAGCACCAATAATGCCCACGTGCTGTAGGCTCATATTCAGGAAGTCAGGAACTTTTGTCCCTCATCTTGTTCTCTTCACCTTTGGAGCATCAGCTCTACTCCTGTAAATCAGTACAACTTCTCTGACGCAACGTTGAAACCAAAATGATCACTTTGCTGAAACAGAACATAAGCAACCTGGATACCCTTTATATTATGGAGAGGTGGCCTGTCCTATAGATACATTATCCAAACCTAAAATGAAAAGTAGTCATACATAGATTCTGAACAAGAATCTACAAAGCCTCTGCTGCTAGTTATAGGTTATAATCCCTTGTTGGTAGGTTACCTGAAGCAATTTTCCTGATCAATTTGTCTATTACCCTTTCTTTCTAATTTCAGTTCAAAATAGATATCAAGTTTCAGGCAAAAGGTATTTGCAACAGCCCATCTGCTTTCAGCACTCAAATTTATTAGCCTAGCAATTCACTTCATTCAGCAGAAAGAACGGGACAGAAACGCAACTCTTTTAAAACAGGTCCGAGTTAGACTATCACAAGCTGTTTCTTCTGACTGAAAAAAAAAAACAACAACAACAAAACCCACCCTTATCCCCAAACCACATATTGAGAGCTAAGAAGTATATAATTAAAAACACTGGCTGCTTCCCCTTCATTTAAAAAAACCCCAAAACACCATTAACACATCCTTTGTTTAGAAAGGCTTATGAGCCCAACACAACACAGTCCGCAAAGCCATCTGTCTGGGCAACCAGCTGCAAGACATGCTGTTAGAAGACCAATGGACCAAGAAAAAGCAAGGGCTGTTGGGCCGGTTCAGTGGCTGAGAGGTGGCAGCCAGATGGCCCGGCAGCACACCCCGGTCTTAGCCAGCCAGTGAGTCAAACATATCAGGGACAGCTCAGGGAGTGGGTGATGGGGCAGAAATTAGGGCACTGAGGTTAGTGAAGGATGTGGAACAGAGATGTGGCTGAGCGCTGGGAAACAGTCTAACCCATTACTTTAACAGGGTGTTCTAACTTGTGAACAAGAGATTGAGAGCAGGATTTAGCAATCCAGACAGTTGAGAAGATTTTTCACCTGAGGTAAGACATTCAGCGTTGAGGAGAGAACAGTCTTCATTGTTGGGATTGTTCAAAATTTGCATCTTTGGCCTCTCCAGCGTACCCACTTTGGCTTTATGCAAATAAAAACAACGCCAACTTTTACATTTTCTGAGTCAGAAGCTGCAGGTAAGGTGGCTCAACACTTGGGAAACAAGACAAGCACACTGATTTCTTAAGCCAGAGTAAGTTTTTATGAATTTATATTCCAGCAATGAAATGCTAACCTGGATAACAGGCCACTAAAACAGTTACTTCTTACCTAGTCTGAGTTCTCCAAAGTTCCCACACCCAATCTTCTTGCCCACTCTGAAGTTGGGTCCCACCATAAGAACACCAGAAGATGCAGATGAACTTGATGGTCGAGAACCGTGCCCGCTCCTTCCTGGCATTCCTTTCGCCGTGCGCTGCCTTTCATCTTTTTCCCTATTAGAATGGTCCATGATCTTAGTGAAAGATCTCTGCCAGTGAGCTGGCAGAGAGGAATTGAAGTATGCACTCTTCTTCTTAGAAGAGAAATATATATCCAAAAGTATCTGAGTCAGGGTCCAAGAGAGTCATGGAAACGCATGGAGTTCTTTTGGCACCATATCCAGTTTCCTAATGCATCTTTATAATGTACCAAATGGTCGATTACGTTCTCGAGAACTCAATAAAGGCAAGTTGCTTTTGGTTTCTTACCTGGGGAAAAGAAAAAGGATATATGAAATAAAAATCATTATTTTAAAATACCAAGAGAGAAATGTACAACATGGCAAACTTCCAGTATTTTCCTGAGCTATTTAGGCCTCAAAGAAGTTAACAGCTGTGTATTAACTTTACTGTTTTCCTAACAGTTTTCTGCTAAAAAGCCTCAACAACATGAAGAGAAATAAATGACGGCCCATTCACTGTTTGCTATTACAGTTAGTATGTATGGCACTAGTCCTAATAACAAAAGCAATTTCAACTACACCAGGATGTCAGGTGGAAACAACACAAGGAGGACACGCTCCATCTTTAAAGCAACTGTGAAATGTAAAGTTTGTTTTTACCTCTTCATGCGTTTACAAGGTGTTATACAGAAGCCAGACAAATAAAAAGTGGCAAGTGAAAGGTACTAAGAGAAGAAAATACTGAAGCACTTAAGAAATTACATGCATCTACTACACTAGAAGTCACATCCTACCTAGTTTCGCATCTTCAAAAGTTAACCTTAGATACATTTGCTAATTGAAACTGGTGCCTCATGGAGGCTTGACCAAAACTAGTAATCAAAATTTATCAAAAAAAAAAAAACCCTTAGGAATTTCCTGAAAGCTGTGTCAACACACAGTTCACATTGCCATGTCCATCTTTAATGATTTAGTTTCCAAATAAATGAACTTCAGCAAAATACACTCTAATGGAATCAGGCAAGAGAGTCAAAGGCCAAGATCTTCTCCAGCAGCCCAAATTCATAACCGGCAAACAAAAGTCTGACAGTTCTCCAGGAAAAACTGAAGTACACCTTCTTCCCCATATGCCCAAACTTGTCTTCATTATATTCCCAGGGCAGGCAACTCTGCACTACTCCAGAGAGCATGCGGGTGCACCTAATGAGCCCCAGTCCACTCATTTTGTCAAAAGATGACAAGAAACAGATGCTTGTCAATCCATGCAGGCCAGACGGCACAGCAAGGGAAAGGGTTTTCTCTGTGCCTGCAGGCCAGCCTGAAAAGACAGGCTGATGCGGTACGGACCCAGGAGGTCCTAGCTTTACAAGTGCAGCGCAGGGAACTCGAGGAAGATTGACATCTCACCATGAGATCTATCCTGGGACATAAAATCGTCCTGGATCTTTGGAGTAGCCAAGTGATCCAGCTTGAGCCCTCTGTGGTCAGAGGTAACTTCCATCACTGAGGAGGGAAAGTCTGAAGCCTCTGTAGCAATAGGCTGGTCCAAATTGATGGGATGGTCTGGAGGCACTGAAGCGGGGAGTGAGCGAGCTTCCCCTCATACCCAAGGCAGCGGACAGGAGGAGGAGGGAAACGGTGTAGCATGCTTTGTCTGCACGGACGCTGAACAAGGAATGAGCACACCCAGTGTTAGACAGCAGATGTCGACAGGCTAGCGGTCATGGCGCAGCTCTTGAGCAAGAACCTACAACTAGAGTACACCTACCTGGAAGCACCCCCCACATCCCAGGAATTATACATACTGGATTGCACTCCTGTAGGACTCACTGTTGCATTCATGGTTTTCCTGACATGAGCGGAAGAGTGCCTGAATGATTTTAGAAACGGAGTTCGTGTCCCACTTTCATGTGGATGTCTACAGCTAAAAGCATCAATGTTTGCACAGAAGTTAGCAAATACCTCCAAAGACAGCACAAAAGTGCTAGCTGAAACCACCTAAACAAGATTCACTGTGGAAGGATATTGTCAACTGAATGTCATCAGGTGCACCCAGAAATACAACTGTATTTATGTGGGTTCAAAGCTCTTAAGGAAACTCGCTCAATCCTCCCGCAATACATCCATAGCTTATTTTTCAGGGAATTTAGAAAGGGTTTTGGTTGTTTCATGAGATGAAGTTAACCTGCCTACTTCCAGGCCTCCAAAGTCCAAAAATAAAATAGAATTACTACGCGTCCACAAACCAGCGGCACGGAACAAAAGCATTAACTCTTTAGAAACATGAGTATACTGTCCCTGATCTTCCAGTTGTGGGACACTTATTTCTAGAAATTTTTGTTTTGATCCAAGACATCCGCAGATAAGGCAGAAATCACTCACAACAGATCCAGAATATGCTGGTCACTGCCAGTTGGAAATTCCAGTTTCTTAATATAAACAAGTCCTTAGCACAACTCTAACCTTTTCTATCCATTTCCATTTGCAGCTCCAAATGTATGCACAAAAGAGGGCACAATTTTCCTCTGCCTGAGCATCCTTCCTAGATTTTTTTTTTCCAGTAAACCTCTGGCAAAAAAAAAAAAAAAGTAAAGATTAAATAAGGAGATGCACAACTTGAACAATAACATTTCGGAATTATTTTTCAATGCTTTGGTTTACAGATCACTGGAGCTTCCAGATCAGACAGGGAGTCCGAAGGATTCTGAACAGACTCCATCTTCACCAGAAGGATACTCGTCTCTCAGCAGTATGTTAAGACGACCTTCAACACACCAGAGAGGAGCTAATAACAGAGCAAAACGCCCATATACCAGCTTCATATGATGTGACAGTCCTACAAAAACATCCCACCTTTAACTGTGTATGCACTAATGCTAAGTGTCTAGTTCAAGTTGCACAGTTTACAACCCATGGATTATTTTATCCAGTCCACAACTCAGTACCCTTCTTTTCCAGAGGGAAAAAACAGATGACTCCTTGTAGCCTCTTTGCACGAAGCGGGATCCCTGCAGAAAATGTCATAGAGGAAATCTGCAGCAAACCCAACAGGTCCGATAATGACGAGGTCCGAGATCTGTACTGCGCGCATACTACAGATCTGGCTACGCAAATGCAGAAGCTGCAGCATATAACTCTCACATGGTACTAGGCAACTCTGAACTGCTGTTCAGGACTAGACACCACTAGCCTAACTAGGTACAGAAGAGATGCTCATGTACAAAAAACAATGTTTAGTATTACCAAACCTTACTTGTACCTCCAATACAAATAATTTAAGCTTTAATAGCTAAAAGTGAATATGGATTAGCAGAAAGCATCCATCACAGGTAAACAGGATGAACTGGTTCTTCATCATAGATATCCTCAACATACTTTCAGTGGCAGCATTCATTTTCACAGAGTGAGTTAGTGCCGTTTCTTAAAGTTGTTTGCACGCATACAAGCAAGCAGCTAGTTACATTTGCTTTTTAAAATCAGTGTGATACTAAATAGGAACAGTTTTCCCCAAGTGATCTGCTGGTACAGCTTGCAGAAGCAATGACTGATGCCCTGCCAGATATCAGAAAATCACTTGGGTTGGACCCCACCCCATTTTGTCTTGGGAAAAGACTTGAAAGGAGGAAAAGAGGAAAAAAAAAAAAGCTAAGTCTTTGAATCATTCATAATTCTGTACAGAAGCCATATGTGCAAGGATGATGGTGTGCTTCTAGAGCTGAGCTACCAAGCTAGATCTCTAGGAAAAGACGAGCAGAAGAGAGGAGTTTTATGAATGAAAAAGTAACACTTTGGAAAACACACCAGATCCTATTAAAGCCAGGAAGGAGGAATTTTTTTTCCTGGAGACCAAAGTCATTTTCTTTGAGGGGGACAATCCATGGACATCAACTATAGACCTCACAAGAAGAGTAACAAAAAAGTATCTAGCAAGAGCAAATAAGACTAGCTACATGCAGTATAAATGGAATTTAGATGCAATTCTATTTGCAATTCTATTCTGGTTTTTTTTGTTTTTTGTTTTTCTCTCCAGGAAGAGTTCCTATCCAGCAGCTACGAAGCTACTGCTGAAAATCAAAAGCAAAATTATGGTCAGATTGAAGTAATGACAAGCCCTGGGAGGCTACCATTTCAAAAAACACAGTAGCAAGTTCTGCTATACTCCTTCTGGCCCCAGCTAGTTTACTGCTGGACAACATAGTGCACAGCATTTTGAGAGACAAGAAGGACAGCACAGCTCTGTGGGCCAAGGAGATACCAGTACGATGGATTGCATGGAAGGCAGGCCAAAAACCCTGAAACGAAGAGGCAAAAGACTGCATGACAGCAAAGTCAAAAGGAATGATAATATTTTGGTAAAGTTGCAGATAGTTCTTTCTTAAGACTCTTTCTTGCTTATCTTGAAAATCAACTAACAGTTCTACGTTAGCCAAAAGAAAGAATAAGAGAAGTCAATATAAACTAAAACCATAGGACAGGTTTTAAAATAGCTCAATTAACTTGGTGGAGTGGAGAGAGAGGGAGGCTTTAAAAATGCACTACAATTTACAGCTTCTGCCATATGGCACCAAAACCATTTAACCTTCCACCTGCCCATCCTGCCATACTGACCTACCACCAGCCTACTACCTGCAGAGTAGATCTATCCAGATAACAAGGGTATTTTGTAGCAGAACCTAATGCCCAGGTGCAGATCTTCCCAAAGTGTTTGGCTAGCTGCTGGCAAGAGATAGCATCATTATAGAACATAAGAATTTTACCCGCTATGAGAACACAATAGAGCCGAAAGCCACCAAGTGGCTCAGATGCACAAATCAACACAGTTCAAAGAGTTGATAATATTGAGGTTGGTTTCAATTTTCAGCCAGCGGTTGCAGGGCAGGCCACGCTGAACAAGTGCTCCATTATACGACTACATCAATCCTGGAAGGCCTGCTGAAGTCCTTTGCGAGCATAAGTCCTTCTGATACAACTTACTCCCTCCTTACCCACCCAGATTTAACTCTAAAGTTGGCTCAAGGCAAGCGCACCAAGTTTCAGATCGGACAGCAGAGATGCACTGCTCTGTCTGACACTTAAAGCATCCTGCTCGCTGCTGCTGAGATGGGACAACTTGGTTCTTCTCAAGCAGATAAGTAGACTGAGCTCCACCACACATTTTCCAGCTAGCGAAACAAGTTTTTAAATGGTTATAAGCCACTACGCCCCATCCTTCTCTCTTCCCCAGCGTTCCTCTAATTTGTATAAGACCTCCCCAGGGAAAGGATGGAAAGGTCACACCTGACAGTCCGAGAAGGCTAAACATCCTCT